AATGTTTTTATTGTTGTTAATTATAGAAAGTGTCGTTTAAAGGCCTGCTGAGGAAAGACGAACAAGTCCGAAACACATGTTTGATGTGTATGTGTTCAGGTGAACTAAATAAAGAACATTATTTTTGAACTGTAAGACTAAATATCTGCATCCATAATTTCCCAGTATAATAAGTCCTGTTAATACATAGAAAGTACTAGTATACAAAATAAATTATAAATAGATAAAAAAAGGACAAAAAGGCATAATAATTAATGTTAAATTTTAACTGACTTAATTTTGCAAACACATCTTTTTTATTTATATGGGTATCTTAAGGTCTGTTTTTGCACTAATGTTGCTAATGCACCATTTGAGCGAAAAAAAAAATTGTTAAGGAAAAATTTTCTGTTAGCGAACCCTTTGTTAAATATTTCGAATATCACCACTGCATATAGATGAAAACATCCGTAGAAAGAATTTTTCTGTTTGGTTATGAACTGGTAATGGTTTATTTGGTGAGTGTTATATAATTAAGTATCCAGTTTTTTGAAATATGGTATAACAATAAAATCTTATTCATTTTGTATTTGTTTTACTTTTTTAAAAGCATGTTTGCCTAAATTGTGGCCCATTGTAATGTTACGCGTGAATAAAGTGGCCAGTAAAACAATTTGGGTTGGCCAGGCCTGACTTAAATAATACAGTAATTCTAAATCAGTTTGGCCTAGGACTAGTTAAGCCTAAACTAGTTAAGCCTAAAGTATTTAGGCCAAGCTAGATTGTCCTAGGCTAAACTAGTATATCCTGACACGCATAGGATAAACTAGTTTGGCCTAAAATCAGGTTTGGCCGGTAACATATATATATGTTAAACTGATTTTACTATAAAAAAATGAACATGACTGTGACATTTATCTGGTAGTTTAAAGTTTAGCTAGTTTAAAGATCAAAATAAAATTTAAAAAATACTAAAAACTGTTTAAAACAAAAATAATTTGATACTGTGCAATTATGATTTACACAGCTTTTACTGTACATAGTTATAATTGTATTTCCACAAATATAATCTCAATTTATGATACTGAACTTATATGACATGATAGATCATTTTATGACAGTTTTCCATGAACCAAACAGATTATAAAGTGGGAATCACTACACATGTGAAAATTTTTAAATACAATAATAAAAAAACTGCTATTCCCAAACCAGAAAATTTCTTCCAATATTCAAATCCTAAAATCAAACAAAACAAATAAATAAAAATAATAAAACAAAAACAGCTCCCTCTTGGGCGACCTGTGCGAATTGGTTATGCGTCAGTTGAAGGGAAAGACCATACCCGATTCATATCAATCATTGTTATATTTAGGAGATACATTGATGGCTTGTCCATCCTCTAGAAAACTGTGCCAAATGTTAATGATTTTTTAAACTGCATGAATGATAATCCATATTGTCTAACCCTTAAATTAGATCAGTTAAGTAGCACTAGCACTCACTTCTTAGACATCAACATTCGTCTAAATGAAGACCAGGCTGAAACATACATTAATTACAAACCTTGCTACTTACCACTGTTCATTCCTGCAAATTCTACTGACTAGTATTCATACAAAATTGCAACATTCCATGCACTGACTGAACATGTTTACACACCATTCTAATCAGGAGGACACTCTAATTGAGCTAAAACATCTCGAGGACATTGCAGTAAAGCATGGATTCAAAAAGGACTTAATACATTGTTTAGCACATGTCCACTCCAACCAATAGAACTTGTGCAACACCTCTAACACTCAACCGACTTCCAACAGAAGTCAGAATAGTAACCCTAACTCCAGGCACACTAAAGTTGAATATAAATGACATTTACATGCCTTATATAAAGAAATAGCTGCCCTAACAGGTACCAAGCTTGCATATAAATGGTCCCACATGATATATAAGTTATTGTGAAATGCAAATGACAAAACCGATGATCTTAAAGCCCCAGGTGTTTACACTGTTCCAGTGAGGGACAACAGGTTCCAAAGTGATTTAGTGTACATTAGTTCCATCAAATGCTCAGTGCAAAAAAAAACTGCAGGAATACAAATACAATGTTGTGAACAAAAGGCATATCATTGCCCTATCCACCTACGACACTGACTCTGAAGTGCAAGCTGACCTCCCTAACACCAGGTTAATAAAGCGATCTGTCAAACCAATCATATTAGAGCTCTGGAAGTCTTAGAAATATACAAAGCTGGGCTCACAGGTAAGTGCAACAATTTTAAGGATGGTGGTATCATATGTCTAGCAATACTTGTATGAAAACCTAGCGGCACTGATACAAATTGACTTTTATTACTTGTTATTAGGCTTGTTCCTAAAATAATTTGTGCATATTTGTTGTCTTTAAATATATTTTGAATTCATACACTTATAATTTTTGTAAGCATTATGTGTTCCAAATTGTTTAAAAATATTTTTCAAAATGTTAGGTTCTATGCATTCCAATTTTGGAATTCTGTAGGTTTACAAACCTGAAGCAGAGGTTAAGGTTGAAAGCATTTGTTTAATTTTTATTAAATGTTTTATTTGTATTACTGGATTTTAAAGATTTTTTGGTGTTTGTCATCACAGACTGCCATAAAGAATAAATTCAGCATACGTTTAAAATTTAATTGTTAAATGGAATTCATTATTTATAGCTGTTTCATAAAACTACTTATTTAAAAATTTTATTTTAAGAATATAAAAATAAACAATATAAAAGAAATTAGTCAACACTTACAATACGCATGCCAACATAATTATGATCACCATATTTATCACCAGGTTTATTAAAAGGGAATGTTCCATTATATCCAGTTAAAACACCAGACAATCCAATCAACATCTATTTTAAAAATATTCACATACAAATTTATTACAAAATAAAAATCTTATTTAATATTAATAAAAGAAATACTTTAAATAATACCTTTCCCAATGGCGGATGAACATCAAAGAAAAATGTATGATTTATATACCAGCTTCCCATTTTACCAAAATGAGTTTCATCCCAACTAAAAATTGTTAAAAATGCATTATTTAAGAGCTTTTCAAATGATCCAAATAACTTAAATAGATTTTTATTTAGTATAGTATCTACCATTATGTAGTTGTCCATATCATATTATACATAAAGTATTTTGTTTGCAGGATTGGTAACTACTCTCATTAATTTAATGTAGTTACCAATTTAAGATATCATTTTATTTAAAATGATTGAAACTTATCTTTTAAATTATCAAAGATTAAAATATAAAATGAAAATAAATGTAAATTTGTTAAGAATATAGAGTTAGTCTAACAAAAAACATGAAAAATTTATCAAGTAAATATTGTGTATAAAGTATAAGGGGCAATAAAATTCTGTACAAAAGTCAATTGGTTAACAATTATTTATAGATTTGAAGATCTAATTATATATTATTTTAGATTTGTCTAAATTTTTTTCTGTTTTTATACTTCTGGAAGATACTATATTTAAATGTATCACAATTTTCATATTAATCTAATGATAATTGCTTTAATTACTGTATATTTATTTCAAAATTTAAATTATTTTTGGATATTTGGATGATATAGCCTATGCAGACTTACCATATATTTGGTAAAACAAGTTCGTTTTAAGTCTTATCTCAGCCAGTTTATAAGTTTGTTTCAGTTATTTTGTTTTTATATTAATTTATATTCATATATATTCTTTAGTTCACATTAAAAAAATATTTATACTATTTATAGTTTTGCACATAAACTGAAAATATGGAATAACTTTCTCTTTGCACATGCAAGTGCAAAGAGAAATTAAATGTGAAGATTTTCTATTGCACAGTTACTTACTTATTGGACTGCAATTTGCAAAAATTGTAGATGTATAAATTCCCATTGGCATCCATCTGTCTGTCAGTCCTTTCTTAATCTGAAGGATAGAGTGAGTTAGATGAAAGTCAAGATCACATATGGAAAGCTTAGTGGTAGGAGATCTTGATTAATGGCATACGAATGGAGGATTGCATACAAACTTCCAATTCTGACTGGAAGTCATGTTATTCCAATTCAAAAATTTTCTTCTGAACAGAGTTAGATAGAGGACTAGCATGACTATTGTTAACAGGAAAAGTATGATGTACAGGGGGACAAGACACTACTAAAATTCAGAATATTGTAGTGAAAAATTGCAGCCCGGCATTATGATGATGTAACCATAAATAATACATCCATCACTTTTGAATGTTCTTTTTTTTAAAAATCATTCAACTTTTAGAAATGGAAGGACTAAAAGATGAACATAGAAAAATTATTGGAAATTTCTATACTAGAAATTTGGACATTTATCCTTAATCAAACCGTGGAACATTTTAAAATATATGGGAATTCCAAAAAACATAATATATGATATACTGTAATTAAGAGAGTGGAAGAAAAAAAAACCACTATCTAGAGCTGCAGGAAGTAGAAGAAAGAGGTTTAAATGACTGAAGCAAAGTGTAAGCAGCTAATTTCTGCTGTTGGTAAAGTCAACTAGTGTCTCCATACACTAGGTCAAAATATCTCACACATGTGCACAAAATATTAAAGGAAAGTAATATTGTTATCAGGAAAAGAATTTCTTCACCTAAGTACACTGTGAAGCTGTTTGAAAATCAAACAAGGTTACTTTGATGACTAAACAAAGAAGATCTGTAGCCCAAAAACAACCAGGATGTTATGGAAAAGTCTTATTTTACTGAATGGTTCTGAATGTATAGGAAATAAAAGTTTTTGCTATAAAAAAAAAGGAAAGGGGATTATGCCAGAAGTAAAGTTTAAACAGCATGCAAAGTTTGTAAAGAAGATTTTGATTTGAGTAGACATAAGAATTTGCAGGAAATCTGACCTTCACTGCAACATCTAAACTTTACATTTACATGACAGTATATAGTACAGAGTGCATCAAGAAAAGCCTAGTCCCATTCTTGAACAACCACAATCTAAATGGGAATTACACCTTTAGGCCAGATATTACAATGTTCCACTATGTTCAAGACACAACTGCTGTCTTTGACCAGCATTGATATAGGATATCATACTGGTCATACAATACAGTCGACCCCCCTATAACACTGTTGATAATTCTGTTTTATACGAATTCCATGTTGTACGAATCACTTACATTTTACAAATACATGTGCCGACTGTGAACGGCTCACGTATTTGTAAAATCTAAGTGATTCGTACAACATGGAATTCGTATAAAACGGAATAATCAACAGTGTTATATGGGGGGGTCGACTGTACATTTCTCATAAAAACAATGTGTCCAATGTGCTTCAACTGAGATTGAACAGTTTTAGAACATATACAAGCAAAAAACAAAAGAATAGCAAAAATATAATAGAATAGAACAAATAGAAACAAGCAAACAAAAAAGAAATATGAAAGTCCAGGAGTAATCTTTAACAAAATATTCTGTTTCAAAAAATTTTATTTAATTCATTCTGCTTTAGCTAGACATCTCTGAAACAGGTCCTTCATTTTAAAGATTCCCTTCCATTATTTGCTAGGAGGAATCATAATCTTTGTATATTGTACATATTTAATTAGTTTAATCTTGCTATGGTGTATCATGCATCGATTATATGTATATATCAACTGATAACCTCATCATGCTGGCAATATGATTCACAAGCACTTTTAGTTCATTTTTGTAAAGAGGAAAATATTAATTTTAAATATTGTTTTAAGATAATGTTCCAAATTTTTATTGTAAATTTTTTCAAGTTTTTCTAACTATTCATTAACAAAGGAATCATGTTTTAATTTAAGATACATCTCATGAAGAGTAGCTCCTGAACCCATAATTTTTTTCATTTTTTTGCTCATATGGGGATGACCTACAATCCAAACAGTGTACAAATGGTATATGGCAAAGGTAAAATCATGTTGATATTTTTATGCTCTTTGTAATTAATTATATACATAAAACATAGACCAAGCCTACTCCTTAATATTGTATGAAGTTAAATTTCTAACAAGAAAAGGACACTGTTTGGAGACAAAGGTGGCAAAACCAAAACCTAGTTTATCCAAAGACCTTAAAAAGATATGTTGATGCACATAAATTCAGATGCTTTTGATGAATGGGCAAAAAGTTCTTAATGTGTAAAAATAATATAATGTAAATATTTCAAATGTAAAAGTTTTATTGATGTATAGAAAGTGTTTGAACAAGCAATGATCAAAACAGAAACAACTTTCACAGTGAGAACACTTCACAAATGCAAAAGTAGAAACTTTGTTTTCTTCACATTTTTCAGCAAAATCACGATTGAAGCAAAATATTAAGTGTTTTGAACGATCTGGCCTTTTCTGACAAATATCCACATTTGAAAAATGTGTAACATATCAGATTTTTGAATCTCAGTGCAGATAACCAAATCACTATCATAAACAGTAATCACGGTGCCAAAAGTCGATGTTCATCAGTATTTTCTCAGAGAAATACCTCTTTAACACCTTGGCCATGGCATCCAAATTTTCGTGCATCAACATATTTTTTTAAGATCCTTTGGACAAAATGGGTTTAATTTGGCAACCTTTGTCCCCAAAACGGCATCGTTTTCTCACAAGACTCATTTCCATAATTATTTGAATTTTAAAAATAACTATTTTATAACAGTGTTCTGTCCTAGCACAGTATAGCAGAAAGACGGCAACATGCATATGATTTTCAAATTTCCTTTCGTATATATTTTTACTACACAATATATCATCGTATTCCTTCAACACCTTTGAAATTATTACTGTGAATTCATACCTAATCAACATTTCACCATTTGTATGTAGAAATATATAATTATATAGGAATAAAGCCATATTCTAAAAATAAAAACAAATTTTGGAGGCAATATCTCGCAAAGGGTCACACGTAGTGGTAGGGTTCCTTTGATTTTTTGCTTATACGAGTACGCTCTACAGCTCCATTAAGGTCTCAACCGTCTCGTTCGGAGCTCAAATTGAGCCAAATGTGCAAACTATAAACAATCTAAATATATCAATTAAATGAGCGCTCCTTATTAAGCTTTTATTTAATGTAACGTATACGATCATCAATAAATCGATTAAATCTGTCAGCTTGTATACGATATTAATCAACTGATACGACGATAAAATTTTGATAAAAGAACTCATGACGTACTTTTTTTCTTGAAAATGAAATCGACACTTAAAAACACCGCGAACATTTCAATTGCCGTGTCTCGATTGTAATCGAGTGATTTTTAAAAGAAAAACGAATAAAACACTAACCAAACATGATCGGGTTCGTGAATCTTGTATAACCTTGTAGCTGTTGTCAACAGTACGACAGAAGAAAAGGTTAAAATCCAAATATAATTAGTATTTCCTTTGGTATATTCTTCTAATTTTCCATTAGCTTCCTTCTTTTTAGCATTCTGTTTCGATCGCGTTATATCTTTCGAAGGCATCGAGACAAAACGGTGAGGAATGTAATCAGATTTTAACGAATATACACGGACGGAAATGAATAATTGTATTACGCGAAAAACTCGTTTCTTGACCCATTTAAAATTTAACCCACGACTACTTCGTAGCGTCGGCCGCCATCTTAATTTTCCCCCAAATGCAATTAATTGTCACATTATTTCTACAAAATATCTCATTTCAAATTAATTACATTGAAATAAAATAATTATACGTCAGTTTAAAGTTTTTAATTAAACGTAATAAACATTTATTACGTATGAATTTTTTTAATCAATTTCAAACAGCTGATACACGTGTTGAAGTTTTCGGGATAAATAAGGAAAATAAAATGTTTACGCGTGAATAATGTTAATATTTTGTTAAAAATCCACTTGTCATCGATGGTTACGCCATGCTGTAAGATGTAGACCAAGATTATTTGATTGTCGTTTTACCTTTGACCTCTGGGCAGTTTAAGGGAAAATGTCGACTAAAGTAAGTGTAGCATTCGTGTTTTATTATATATATTATAATAAAACACATCGTATAATATAGAAACATTAAATATATAGTGTTAATATAGATTATTCAATCTTTATTTATTATTTATTTTATTATTTTCAGCCAATCTTATACTCGTACTACAGAAGTTCGTGTTCTTGGAGAGTGAGAATAGGTTGTTTCATGCTTTCAATTTATGCATAAAATATTTTAAAATAATAAAAATATAGTTTTACTAATAATTTAAGCTTACTTATAAATAATTATGTTAATTTATGAATGATTAATTAAATATGGAATGTAAATAATATAGTGTATAAAGTATATATATATATATACATTTTATTCCACTTTTTTATAAAATTGAGATATTTTGCAAAGTTTTATTGATTAACGTTTCATGCAAAGAAAAGGAAATTTAATGTTACATTATCTAAATTTTGCCAAAATAAATTTAATCTTTTAACAATGAAAAGGTTGAATTTCATGTTGTTAAATAAACTAAAACTATTAATAGGTTTTTCAAAAATCGTTATAATTGCAAGTGTCAAAGATATTTTTCTCGAGCTTATAACGTGAACAGATGCAATGCACAGAATAAATATAGTTAAAATATAATAATATTTTAATTAGGTACATCTACTCTGTTTATGTATGTTTATAGAGTTTATAAGTTATAAAATGAAACTTTTTAAATATTGTAAGTTATAATAGTAGTGATATGTGAAGTTATGGTAATTAAAAAGTCATTTCTCGTACAGTATTGAAATCCAATTAGTTTTCCAATAGGATATTGAATGAAAGGTTAGTCATCTTTTGAATTTAATTTCAAATTTAAGTTTGTTAAAATGTTGAATTCAAGTCTTATAAAATTCATTAAATCTATAACTAATGATAGAAATTAATTTTACTTTATGATCACTTTTACATTTATGTTGATATATGTTTGTTTCATCATTCTAATAGAAATCAATTAAAAAAAGCAACTTGTTTGTATTATTCTGGTCTTTTGACTATTTATTATAGGATTGATGGAATAAGATAATGCAACACTTGAGCAATCTGCCAAGAGGAGTCTCTTGGGAAGACTTCCAAATATGTAACACCTAAATAGGAGGCTGTAGAAAAACTCCACATGTCTAGTTTGTTCAAATTCATGACAAATTACCAATATTCAATGATTTTATCCAATCTGTTATTGTGGGCTCTTAACCATTTTAAAATTACTTTTAATTAATGTTAAAATGTATAAAATGTTAAAAATGTTAGATTTTCAGTTGTTAAAAATTTTTCAAATTACTACATATATCTATTTATCTCTCATTTTTTAAAATTATTCTGGAATCTATATATTGATTGAAAGAGTTTGACTTAGTTTGAATAAATAGCTGGAGATGATGCAGCTGAAGTGAGATTTGAGAAAGGTGCAATGGTTCAGGCATGGTGAAATGGCAAAGTATTGTACAATGTTAAGTCTATGGGGCAAATGTGTTGAGGTCCTATCCCATTAACTTTAGCTTGAGCAATTTTTTGTGTTTTTTCAGTTTCATTACCGGAGCTGGTTTTGGACTGTTAGCCACCAATCTTAACTAAATTAGTATAATATAATGCTTGCTATAGATATTTGGCCGCCCTTATCAATACTGATTGCCAGTAATTTTGTAATCTACCCCAACCCACGAGAGTCTACTGGTATGTTTTATGACAGCTTCACATAGTTGACAGGTGTTTTGAAAAAGCTATAAAAATATTTGATATATATTTAGTTTAATTTTATTCAAATCAATTGATAGTAAGCACCTTTGTTTAAAGTTATGTGTTAGCACTGATATAAAATAGAATTTCTAAATTAAAATGAAATTAATTTAAAGAAATTTTTCTTATTTAGTATATAAATACAATATATACATGTCTGTGTATAAAAATAAATTTAAATTTGAATATTTAAATTAATAATGTTTATTGCATCTCTTTTTTATTTAAATTTTTCCTTTTAGTTTCGTCAACAATTAAAACAATTGTGTAAGTATCACTTTAAGATAAATGCCCATTCACAATGAAAATTAAGCATTATTTAATGCAACCATTCACAATGAGTTATGTAAGCATAACTTTAAACTTAATCATAAGAAGTTAACATAAATAAAGCTTGGAGTTTGCAATCTTTAAAAGTTTACAAACTCCAAGATTTTATGCTTTTTACATGATTTAAAACAAGAAACAATCTTAGTGGTTATGGAATTCCCACTGATGAATTTTTCTCTGGTTCAAGGGATGAAACTCCCATCACCTGTTGCTTACACTTAAGTTTTCTAATGCATAACACCTAACACGTATGCTTTGGCATTATTTATATCCATAAACTGCATGGCTGTATTGTCAGTCATCATGCAAACATCAATCTATTTCATCACTGACCACTATTAATAATATAAAAGCTGTTGTCTTTGTGTGTGTGAATTCCTTATAACTCCTGCAATTTTTGTCTAATTCAGATGAAATTTTTATTATTTGTTTTATGTTCTGATGGAAAGGATAAAGAAGATCACTGAGGAAACCTCAGAAACATTACCATGGAATTTACCCAAAATATCATTGGAAGAAGTTGAGGAAGACGAAAGGATCAGTGGATCCAAGATCACTCATGGAAACTAATTGATAAGAGGAAAGCTGCAAAACTTAAAAGCCCAAGCAATGCTGGGTACAATACATGCAGCTAGTTTTAAATTGAATTTGCAAACAGTGTGGTTAACTTTCATTCTGCAAACTTATTTTTTATATTTCTATCTGAAAGGAGCCAGGCTTTCTAAGTCTGTTATAAAATAAACTTTTTTCAAATAAAGGAAGCCCAAATTCAATTTTTTGATTTGATATCATGGATCATTAATCTTAACTAAATTAGTATAATATAATGCAAACAACACTGTATGTATTATGATCAACACCAATTTTATATATACAGTTGACCCCCATAACACTGTTGATAATTCTGTTTTATATGAATTCAAGTTGTACCATGTTGTACAAGTCACTTAGATTTTACAAATACGTGTGCCAGGCTGTGAACAGCTCACGTATTTGTAAAATCTAAGTGACTCGTACTACATGGAATTCATATAAAACAAAGTTATCAACAGTGTTATAGGGGGTCGACTGTACACAGATATTAACTATCATTTTATATATAGACATAATATATGTAATATTGGTAAGATGTAAAACTTGATTTTTATTGATATTATTATCAACAATGAATGACTTACAATTGAAAAAAAGAATAAAAATAACAAGTTATCAAATTTATTGTTTTCTAGCCTTGGCATTAAAAGGAATCGATTATGAATATAAAGCTGTGAATCTCATCAAAGATGGTGGTGAACAGGTATGTTTATAATTCAATTTTCAGAAAGATATTGCGGCAGTTGGCAATGTGGCACTTGACCACTATTTCCAATCTATGTGACATCAGACCGAGGCTAACCTGTCTTCTAGTCAACGTACTTTTGCTTGGTCATGTTTTCACCTTGCACCTCAAACATTGTCTCAAGGTTGACATATAGTTGTAAATTTGACGGAATATAGACATGGAAATAAATACTTGGCAACTGCCCAGGAAACATATCATCCTATCTGAATTGTTTATCCAGCATGACAACAACACTATGTGTGGATGCAATCAGATTGATCAGCATACTAGATCAATCCGAAAAAGAGGCACATAGTAGGTGCCTAAATATTAAAAATCAAAATTTTATAAAAACTAACAAATCTATAATAAAATAAATAAAAAAAAGGAAACAAAAATTCCAGTGTCTTTCTATAAAAAACAGTGTTTAATAAAAATCTTTGTCTCATTATCAATAAACTTTTTATTTTATATATATTAAAATTTATTAAATTTTTACATTGAATGCGTATTGTAAACAAAGTTTTCTGACAATGGACAACATATATACTGAAATGTTTCAAAAATTTATTAAGATGACAGAATTTTTAAAATAAAATAACTGTTATAATAAAAACGATAATTATTTTAAGAAATGGATGCAACTACAGAAACAATATTAAAGATTTTAAATTATGCAGTAAAATCCAACAATGAACACAGTTTATCATTTCAGTTTTCTTCAGCTGATGGCAGATGTTTGCTGCATATTTCTAATCTTATAATTTGTTATCATTGTTAATTTTGATTCCAAATAGTTTTGAATAGTCTATCAGAAAATAGCATCATCTAAGATAGATTTAATATGTGACAATTAAAAACTCTTTTATGAAAAAATTTCTTATTTTTTGTTGTTGTTGTTATATGTTCATATTAATAAGCAGTCTTCTAAACTAGGGTTGATCCACTTTAAGGATTTTATAATTAATTTTTGAAAATTTGATTTATAGTTTCTTAATGCAGTATTTCAGAATGGGTGAACCATTCTGAGCATAAGAATAGATGGTATTTATTAAGATTATCAGACTGCTTCCCATCATATAATCTCAAGATGAATTATAATCTATATCTGTATTCTGTTCTGAAAGTATTTCCTCCTTTATTTTTATTTTCTTAGCTGTTTTATATTACAGAGGGAAAGTGTGGTGATTGGTCAAAAGCACAACCTCCAATATTTTTTAATTTTTTGGACTCTGGACCATAAAACATCGAAAAATGAAAAAAAATTGGGAGTTTTTTCCTGTATGTATAGATGTTATAGTGTGTGGGAGGGCACAATTTTGTTCACCCTTTTTCAAGCTTAATAACTCCTGTACTTTTTGTGAAAAATTTCTGAAATTTTGCAGGGAGTTTTGTGTATTAGGGGATTGATACTATTAAATTTGGGTGATAAAAGGTTGAGGAGTGGGGAGATAAAGCAGGTTGTGTGTATCTCGAGTAGGGTCGGACTTAATGACAATTTTACTTGTTATTAGCATTTACAATTTTTTATGAAAACTAATTCCTACCCTTAAAATTAAGATGTTTGCCATTTTATAATAGTTAAAATATAAAAAGCTTTTTAATAAAATATGATAACAGATGGCACAACTAAATGTTGATGGGAAAGTTAAGCAGCTTGTTGCTGCATTTTTAAACTGTGTGTTTTATTTTTTGTTAAATAATGATTTATAATTACATTCTGTTACAGTAAGCTTAATTTGAAAATTTTCAAACATCTGAAATAAAACTATTATTATTTTTTAATTGCTTTATTTTATTTTTCAGCATTCTGATGAATATAAGAAATTAAATCCTCAGCAGAAAGTTCCTACATTAGTTATTGATGGAAATGTCTTAACAGATTCTGTAAGTTATTTTATAAAAATTTAATACTATTGTCAAAAACTTTACTTATATTAAATTGCTATTTTTAGACATTTTATAATTGATAAGCATTGGATTCATGTTCAGTTGGGCTGTATAGAGGGTATATAATGTCTGTAAATTGATTAGCAAAACTGTCAATAACTTTCATTAGTTTGTTTTAAAATCAATAAGAATATCTTGTGGAAATAATGAAGTTTTTATATTAAAAAAGTATGATTTACAAGAAAATTAGGTTGCAATTTTTTAACAAAAATATCTAATTTATTACTAAAGTTGATAAAAATTTTTATTTAAATTATTTATTTCAACAGAAATAAATATAATAACATAAACTACTTTTATATAATTTAAATTAAATTTTTCATTAATAAAAATTTTATAGATCTCAATTTTAGAATATCTTGAAGAAAAAAGACCATTACCACCACCATTACTACCAACAGATGCTGCAGCAAGGTCAAAAGTTAGAACAATCGTAAATTGCATTGCCTCAGGAATTCAACCAATACAAAATTTAGCAGTATTACAATATTTAGATGAAGATAAGAAATCATCTTGGCCCAAATATTGGATAACTGAAGGTTTCAAAGGTAAATTACTGGAAACATATGATTGTATACTATAAATGCTGAACTTTTAATTGTGATTAGTTAAATGGTGATTTCCCCTCTGTAATCTTTAAATTGTCTTTAAATTTACAGTAAATATAATTAATTTTAATTTATAAATTTAATGATTGTTTGTTACTTTATTTTTTGTGCACACTATGAAAATTATAAATACTCAATATTCAATACTGCTATATTTATTAGCTAAAGCTAATAAATATAGAAGTATTGAATGTAATCTTTCAATGAAAAAATTGTCAACCTTAGCTTCTGTTTATTGATCAAATTTTTATAGTCTAAGTAACAAAACTATAGTATTAATAATCTGTGTAAAGCTCAGAATATCCATTTTTGACAAACAACAAATATCTCATTTGTATATTTTTTTGTATGCTTTTTTATTATTATTACAGTTAATAAATTACTATAATTTCTGCAGCCTGCAAGTACAGACAATCCCCAAGTTTAGTTCTGGGACCACTGTTGTAAGTCAAACATAAAAAAGATAACAATGGTTGGACTTCCCCAAACTGTAAATAAATCTCATTTTTACACTTACTAGCCATATTGAGTTATTAACACTAAGACACCCAGAACACGCAGGAAGACACATGCAAAGGCTCCAAAAATCATAATGAAATACTGGGATATAATCAACTCCACATGAAGATTACAATATTTTTACTTATTTAATTTGTAATAAGGTTAAAGTGAATTAGTAATAAAATTGAAATTAGAATAATAATCTTAGACTGAGCAACTTCTGAAGAAGTTAGTTTCGCTTTTGACCATTAATGGTGTAAACTTGAGTTGAATAAACATAAGTGTAACACTGTAATGGACAATAACTCTTATCATTTAATTGTAGTATTGTACTGTACCATTAGTATAGTTAGGACTCAAATATATTTTTAATATACAGGTATCTCTTATATAATATGGTAGTTCCGTTCTGAAAAAGTGCCATGTTATGCAAATCCAAAGGAATAATGCAAAATATGGGGTTATGTTCTAGAAGTTAGCAAAAGTATACTATTCTTTTTCATTACTAAGAGAAATATATTTATTAAAACAATTAATACTTTATTTCCAATCAATAATTAACTGACAAGCACAATTAAAAGTACTGTATTACATGTTAATTAATTAATTAATATTAATTTTAGTTAAATGAGGGCATTTTCTTTTTACAAAGATTTTACAATTACAGTTGTCCCTCTATAGTCCGACATTTTTTAATCTGACATGCTGAGTAGTCCGACGCACCTCCTGTCAAGGTACCCGTCCCCGTTACGTGTCTGCTTGCACAGAAGCATGTCACGATGTGAATCTCCCCATCCAATTCTTACTCGATGACACACATTTCGTGNTATACATGTCTGTGTATAAAAATAAATTTAAATTTGAATATTTAAATTAATAATGTTTATTGCATCTCTTTTTTATTTAAATTTTTCCTTTTAGTTTCGTCAACAATTAAAACAATTGTGTAAGTATCACTTTAAGATAAATGCCCATTCACAATGAAAATTAAGCATTATTTAATGCAACCATTCACAATGAGTTATGTAAGCATAACTTTAAACTTAATCATAAGAAGTTAACATAAATAAAGCTTGGAGTTTGCAATCTTTAAAAGTTTACAAACTCCAAGATTTTATGCTTTTTACATGATTTAAAACAAGAAACAATCTTAGTGGTTATGGAATTCCCACTGATGAATTTTTCTCTGGTTCAAGGGATGAAACTCCCATCACCTGTTGCTTACACTTAAGTTTTCTAATGCATAACACCTAACACGTATGCTTTGGCATTATTTATATCCATAAACTGCATGGCTGTATTGTCAGTCATCATGCAAACATCAATCTATTTCATCACTGACCACTATTAATAATATAAAAGCTGTTGTCTTTGTGTGTGTGAATTCCTTATAACTCCTGCAATTTTTGTCTAATTCAGATGAAATTTTTATTATTTGTTTTATGTTCTGATGGAAAGGATAAAGAAGATCACTGAGGAAACCTCAGAAACATTACCATGGAATTTACCCAAAATATCATTGGAAGAAGTTGAGGAAGACGAAAGGATCAGTGGATCCAAGATCACTCATGGAAACTAATTGATAAGAGGAAAGCTGCAAAACTTAAAAGCCCAAGCAATGCTGGGTACAATACATGCAGCTAGTTTTAAATTGAATTTGCAAACAGTGTGGTTAACTTTCATTCTGCAAACTTATTTTTTATATTTCTATCTGAAAGGAGCCAGGCTTTCTAAGTCTGTTATAAAATAAACTTTTTTCAAATAAAGGAAGCCCAAATTCAATTTTTTGATTTGATATCATGGATCATTAATCTTAACTAAATTAGTATAATATAATGCAAACAACACTGTATGTATTATGATCAACACCAATTTTATATATACAGTTGACCCCCATAACACTGTTGATAATTCTGTTTTATATGAATTCAAGTTGTACCATGTTGTACAAGTCACTTAGATTTTACAAATACGTGTGCCAGGCTGTGAACAGCTCACGTATTTGTAAAATCTAAGTGACTCGTACTACATGGAATTCATATAAAACAAAGTTATCAACAGTGTTATAGGGGGTCGACTGTACACAGATATTAACTATCATTTTATATATAGACATAATATATGTAATATTGGTAAGATGTAAAACTTGATTTTTATTGATATTATTATCAACAATGAATGACTTACAATTGAAAAAAAGAATAAAAATAACAAGTTATCAAATTTATTGTTTTCTAGCCTTGGCATTAAAAGGAATCGATTATGAATATAAAGCTGTGAATCTCATCAAAGATGGTGGTGAACAGGTATGTTTATAATTCAATTTTCAGAAAGATATTGCGGCAGTTGGCAATGTGGCACTTGACCACTATTTCCAATCTATGTGACATCAGACCGAGGCTAACCTGTCTTCTAGTCAACGTACTTTTGCTTGGTCATGTTTTCACCTTGCACCTCAAACATTGTCTCAAGGTTGACATATAGTTGTAAATTTGACGGAATATAGACATGGAAATAAATACTTGGCAACTGCCCAGGAAACATATCATCCTATCTGAATTGTTTATCCAGCATGACAACAACACTATGTGTGGATGCAATCAGATTGATCAGCATACTAGATCAATCCGAAAAAGAGGCACATAGTAGGTGCCTAAATATTAAACGATAAATTTTTATAAAAACTAACAAATAAAAGTCATCAAATCTGAAATGACGTCACAGATGAAAACATTGGATGAGCGAGGTCGGTAGTAGACAGCTGTGTTTGTGGCGTTTTGTTGTTAGCGAGTGTGTTAGGAACAAAGGAACTTAAAAAAGTGAATATATTACGGAGTTTAATCGTTAGCAAGCCTGGCCTCGAGTGCAGATTCAGACAACGGTGGTGTATCTCCTCCACCTTTGAAAAAACAACGTCTTGCGATGCAATCATCTACCACCAATGGCTGTCCATCTATGCACAATGGGGCAACGACGAGCATCAAGGAAGATGAACAAAATGGGGATCATTTGCCCGATATCTCTACCGATAATAATGAAATTGGTACTAAAATCAAATCTCAAACAGAACAGGACATCATCAGACTGATTGGTCAGCATTTAAGAGGTCTTGGTCTCAAGTAGGTAGACAAAACACAAAAACAAAAATAAAAAAAAAAGACCCCTTCTCCCTCGTTCTTTCAAACTGTTTTTATGTGTGAAGATATAATTTTCATTAAAATTAAAAAGTGTTAATATTGTTTCATCATCACCTGATTAAAACCATTGTCTATACTCAATTACTTTTTAACACAGAAATTTTAAATAATATTGTGCAATTCATGAATATTTTAGAAAAAATTTATAGTTACATTACTCATAAATTTGTTATAGTTTAAAAAAAAACTATTCACAGATTTTTATTTTCTTCGATTCGACTTGAACTTAGGTCTACGTATGTAAATACTTCGAAGAATCTTTTCATATGTTAAAGACTAATAAACTGATTTTAATTTTCTTAGTTCTTTCTATGAACATCATCATGTGATTATTTTTTCTCAATAACAGGAATTTTAAAAATTGTGCATTCATTTTCGGCTGCAATCGGCTATAAGTTAAATTTTTATCTATTTCTTTGATGTTAGTCACATGCAGTTTATGAAGATATTTCTTTTATATTCAGACTAGAATGTGAGGTTTTATTTATTTTTTCTGAAGTTGATTAAATTAAGAACATTATATATAATTTAATCAACATTATATTTAAGTTGATTAAATTGTTATAAAATTTGGAAAATGTAAAAACATTTACCAACTTGTATATGAAATTTTAAATTATGATAAAGTTTTAAGTATATCATAAATACACACATTTATATTTGATAATAGTAATTAGTAATGTATACATTTATGAAGTTGAATTTATACTTAATATCTTCATTTATTTTATAGTTTCGAAATATTCAATTTTATGTGACATTTTAATATTTTTATTAGCAATTATCTTTATGAACAACTATACTATCCAGTTTCTATATAAAATAATAAAATATTTTGTAGTTTAATTCAAATATAAGAAATGATTGCTAAGGATGTTCTTTTTTGGTTCTCTAAAAATTACAAGGATATATTTAATTTTATGAATCTTGTTACGTAGGCTATGTTTAAATATAATTATATACAATCAAAAAAGTAACTTGATATTTTTTGTTTTAAAAAAGAGAAAGTTCATATAAGTGAATCAATAATTATTTAAGAAATAATATATACTTTTTTTAATATCCTTTTTAACATTTATTTTGAAGTTAGAAAAGATTGACAAAATATAAAATAAAATAAAATAATTCAGATTTTATAGAAAACTTATCAAAGCAACAAAGTGTGTGTAAAATATTTAATTTATATTCAGGGTGTCCTGTAAGTCTGGTTCTATGGGAGTTGTGTTGATGTTTGTTTATTTTTTTATACATAAAGTCTGGTGCTGAATAAGGAGGAACAAATTCAAGTTATTTTGATGGTGAGGACACTTTAGTTAGTGTGAAGTTGCTGCAGAGTTTAAAAGACTACATTCACACCACTATATAATTGGTTGAAGTTGATACAGTCTGTTAAATTTTTTGGCAACTTCATGCTGACTATGGGTTTACACCTTCAAAACCACTTCAATTTTTGCTTCACCTGTAAAAAAAAATGTGAGGGTCAAACGTCGTACGTCACCGCTCGTGCGAACTTGTGGTCTCTGTATCGACCAAAAGATACAGTGGTGTCATCCTGACGGGGTATCAAAGAGATACCAACCCAACGGTCACAAAAATAATCAAATGGTACACCAGACTTATGGGTA